TTCAATTATTTAACCCCGACTATATAATTTTTTACCCCTTAGGGGTACATTTACCCCTGGTTGAGAACATCTGGTCTAGAAGGACAACTTTGAATTCAAATCCTGAGTTGTCGAGTGATCAAAATCAACGACTAAACCAGCTGCCACCATTACTGACCCTGTGGTAAGTGGTAACCCAGCAGCACAAAAAAATAGCTATTAACCGCCGAATGAATTCCTGAAAGTCAACGACTATCGATTCCAACTATGGATTAAATAGCCTCACCAACCCGCATTTGGTTAAGTCTTGTTCATACCGTTATACTCAATCAGAGAGACTTGCCTCCAAGAGAAGTTAGTATGGATGTGGATAGCTATCCACCCAGAAGTTTAACTTAAATAAACTGTGGCATTTAAAATTTGACGAAATGATTCTTAATATGAAAAAAAAAAAAAACTATCCCGTTACTAATTACAAAATTATTTACTAATTACCAAGAAGCTCGAAGCAATGTAAAATCTTATTTATCAATATTACATGCAATTAAACCTATAATACCTGATGTTTAATTAAGTTTAATTATAGACAAATCTAATTTTCTTTTACAATTTTTACCTTTCTGGTGTTGAGCGCCATACCTGCTGTATTAATTGGATTAAATAATGATTTCAGTACAGGTGAAAATTTAGATATACACTACAGGGTGTCCATAAAGTTCGTGTGCACTTTAAAAAAATTATAACTTTATTTGTATTTGCGTTAGAAATAATCTGTAAAAAATGTTTAAAAAGAAAGTTTAATGTACCTAGTTTTAAGTATAAGCTAAAATAACTAATGTGATTTCAGGCATTCCTGTAAATCAATTGGCAAATGTTTTCCATGAACACCAAAATCGTATTACCCTTTGTATTGCTAATGATGGAAGACATGTGGAAAATTAAATAAAATTTCAATAAAACCTTAAAAAATATAGATTTAATTATTTCTAATCCTTTTTACAAGTTATTTCTATCGCAAATACAAATAAAATTATAATTTTTTAAAGTTCACACGAACTTTATGGACACACTGTATTCTATATACCATTCGGTTTGGGAAATTTTAGTAGCACGCTGAACTTTTTTTATAGTATCTCTTACACAATAAACTAGAAGATTATCTCATCGAAAGAAAGTATGACAGATGCTAATCTACAAAAGACCAAATCATTGCACCTTCTTGGTTTCCCTGTTTTGCCCCGAAATTAAGTGGAATGATTATATTGAATCAATTGCTATATCTCATTCTAGGAAAGTTGGTTCACTGTCTCATGTCAGACAATCTTTCTCGCCAGAAGCCATGTTGCACATTTCTTTCAGGATTTCACCCCACGCAAAATGGGAGTACCACAAGCACGATAGGTCGGAGTACCACTAACACGCAAGGTGGGAGTACCACTAACACGCAATACGATACAAGGAATGAGAGCAAGTGGAAAGCGTGTTGTTTGAGGAAAGGATATAGAAAAGGACAGGGAATTAGATCAAGGCATCAGAAGATGTCAGTTGAGATTACATTTGAATATTTGAAGAATATAACTGCCAGGGAAACAAAGTAAGAGGAAGGTAGTTCCACAGATGAGAAGTGCGAGACATGAAACTATTAGAGTAGAAGAGACGGCTACACTGGACCTGGGAACATCAGCAATTAAGAGGTGGTTCCATGCTCCTCAAAACCTCCTGAACAGAGACCTTGCTGTCTGATGTAGTTTATCGTCTTACCCAGGACGCGGGTGTAATTATCGTCATACCTAGGACGGGACCATACTTTCAAAAAATGGCACATTACGTAATATTTTACATACATAAAAAATATTTATTTAAAATTATTTCAAAATCCTGGGTGCAAAATGATTTGTATTAAGTTCTTCAATTGTTGATTATTAAATATAGTTTTCACTTAATGACAATATCACATAAGCTATTTAAGTTTTTAAAGATTTTTTAAAAATATTATAAATTAATATATTTCAAATTTTGAAAAAAACTGAAAACAATTAATGTAAAAAATCATAATTAATCTAATTTTTTCCTGAAACAATACTGTCCTTAATAAATCTTAATTATCCCAGCTATTAAAAGCTTTCCTATTTAAATAATATCATTTTTATTTTATAATTCGAACAGGTTTTCGGGAAATAAGTAGCAGTTTAAAAAAAAAATCACGCTTTACATTCTTCAAGGAATCCTGTTTTTTTTTTTTTTTTACTTATGGAACAAATTTTAGGATGAAAATTTAATTTCTCGAAATTTCATGAAATTAAGTAAGTGGGGAGTAACATATGTAAAAAAAAAAATTTAAAAAAATTACCAAGATTTTCAATAATGAAAACTTTCAAAAATAATTGCATTCATTTGTGAATTCGTGTCGAAAGTTTCATTAAAATCCAACACTTATTTAATTTTTGCCTGAATTTCCAAATCAGTGTGTTTTTCACCGAAAAAAAAGGAGCTCTAAACTCTAATAATAAATATTACGTCGACCGCTAACGCAACAAAAATAAATATTTTTTTATCAAAATCTCGAACGTGCTGGATAGGATGAAAAAAATTAATAAAATAAAAAAAAATACTTTTCTGTCTCCTCTTAGTAACCTAAATATTTTGACGATAAAACTTTGCTTTTATTAAGTGTGGGATCTTTTTATTTTTATTTTTTTCATCATGGTGTGCTGCTTTTTCAGCGAAAAAGTGGAGGTATCTAGCTTCTGGGACTTAAACCCAACCCAGATCACAAGTGGAACTCACACATATGAATCATTGTCAAGATGCTGGAAAAATGGTCAGTTCCCTGTAATCACTCCAGTACCTGGCACCTCATTCAATCATCTACCTTTACAAGAACCAGACCAGAAGATTTTTTCTTTTTATGTGCCGTGTCCCTTCAGGACGTAGGCGATCATTGCTCTCCACTTCACCCTATCCCTTGTAGCTCTCAATAAGTTTTGTCCCTTTGCTACATCCACCAGGCCATGTTTTGTCATCTACTTTATGTGGAAAGTATTCAATCCAGCTAAAGATTGTTAAGTTTGTGGCCATCAATAATGAATACAGATAAGGATTTTAATACACTTAAAATCGACACGATGTATAGGGTGAATGAATCCACACATCCTTGTCTTACACCCGTTTCTATTTTGGTATATCTGTTTGTAATCTAGGGAAGGTTACTGAATAGAATAATCACGCGAAGGTTGAAAATGAACGATAATACTTAGGACAAGAACAGCACATATAAGATTCACCAGCGACGCGTAGAAGAATTAGTCAACTGCTAGACGTGAGTCAAATAAATTCCACAAATTTAATTTGGCCAAAAATTCCCCGTAGACCCCGCATAGAACGGGGTCGATAGCTGTTGCCTGAGACGAGATTCTGCCCTTCGACATAGGCTCGTCGGAGGCATAGATTTTGATCAGATGGCGGCAAATCTCCGACTGTAGGCTATATCTACCAACCAACCCCGCAGTTAGATGTGGCACAAGGCAGAATTTAATGTGAGGTATCCGAGTCCGTAGGCTCGGACAAAAATTCCCCGTAGACCCCGTATAGAACGGAGACGAGTAGCTGTTTCTCGAGACGAGACCCTGCTCTTTAACATAGCCTCGTCTGGGGATCCTCTCTGCTCGGGGGCAGAGAGTTTGATCAGCACAGCCCGAGACGAATCTCCAACTACAGAATATCTAATAACCGCAGCACGCGGTCAAGGTGTGGCACAAGGCCGAATTTACTGTGGGGTATCCGGACCCGTAGACTCAGCCAAAAATTCCCTCTAGACCCCGTATAACACGGTGTCGGGTAGCTTTTTTTCCGAAACGAGACTATCCTACGACTTCATCTGAGGATCATCTCTGCCTGAATGCAGAGAGTTTGACCAGCACAGCTGGAAACGAATTTTCGACGGCAGACCAACATACAGTATTTACTACTGTATTCATGTAAATGGGTACATACCTATTATCGCCCGTAGGTATGCCACCACACTGCTGAATTAATTTTCTATGTGTGTGTAGGTGGTTTGCTGACTGTATATTATCTTGATTATTCTAATATCCTTCACAAATATGTCAAGATTGATGAGTTAACTTTGGGGCGTATTTTATCGAACGCCTTTGCGTAATCTATAAAACCTTCTGAATTTTATTGCTCTTTTTCATAACATTGTAAGCAATGATATCCTCTCTGCCAGTAGGTATAGAGTTTGATCAGCACAGCTGGAGGCGAATCTCCGACTGCAGGATATCTACCAACCGCCCCAAGCGGTAAGATGTGGCACAAGGCTGAATTTAATGTTAGGTATCCAAGGCCACGTATAAAACGGGGTTGGGGTAGCTGTTTCCCGAGACGAGACTATGCCCTTCAATATAGCCACATCTGGGGACCCTCTCTGCCCGGAGATTGAGAGTTTGACCAGCACGGCTGGAGATTTATCTCCGACTGCAGACCAACATACAGTATTTACTACTGTATTCATATAAATGGGTACAAACCCATTATCGTCCGTAGGTATGCTACCACACTGCTGAATTAATTTTCAATCTGTGTGAAGGCGGTTTGCTGACAGTATATTATATTGATTATTCTAATAACTTTCTCAAATATGTCAAGGTTGCTGAGTTAACTTTGGGGCGTACTTTAACGAACGACTTTGTATAATCTATAAAACCTTCTGAATTTTATTGCTCTTTTTGATAACATTCTAAGGAATAAGCAATAATATCGAGATCCTTCCATTGGCTTTGACGAACCCGCAATGTACTTGTCTTATTTTCAGTCTGATTCCGTCTTCTTGCAATTGATGTTTAATCCATCCAAGCATGCCTATAATGAACACTATATTTTAGGATTTTTTTTTTAATTCTTGAGAGTTTAGCACTGACTCGTTTTGATTGCATCATTATGCTTTCTCAAATGCAACCAAATGATCAAGTTTTAATGACATTAATTAATATTACATTAATTAATTAATATTATTTGTTCAGTGACGTCGTGGCGCCATCCTCCCCAACCCCGGCGCTCACGTCACGTGATCACCTCGTTATACTCTCGAAACTCCAGTAGGGAAAGAGAAAGGTAGTTAATGTGAGTGGTGATGGTGAATCTAGACGTTTCCCTACAGGAAACTTTTGACATTCATTGACCGAAGATTTCGTGTTGCTGCCTGTTGCAATTTGTAAAATCTTTTTCTTAAAATATTCTTTTTTTTTAAGAGAAATTAGACTTTTACGTCCTTTTCCCACCGGAGAAATGTAATGTCTCCTTGCCTTTTCGGTAAATACTTTCATGGCATTAATTTGAACGCAGTGCTAGATTGACAGCAAGGTCTCACCATTTTTACATTTGAAATCGCTAGCTGTAACTGTAAGTTCTATGCTAGCAGTTTCTTCTATTGCACTTCTCGCTTGGGGAAATCTATTCCGGCTTTTCGCTTTCCAGATTAACGTTCCAAAGGTTAAATACAATGTCAATCGTCATCTCCTGTCTACTTAATTCCAGCTATTTAATTTGTCCTTTCACACATATAGAACTTTTTTTTGTCCTAGTGGTTGCATTGCATTACTTGGGTAAAATCATTATATATATATATATATATATATATATATATATATATATATAATGATGCATGTTAAATGTTTATTAAATAATATCTATAAGTTTTGTCTATTTATTTTAAGTAAGTTCCTTTCATATTGTCTGAAAAGCTTAATAACATTATCATTGAAGCACGAAAGGAAATAGTCATATTGATACATGTTTAAATCCAATCTAAGCTTTCGGCTTACATAAGCCATTATCAAAGATGACAATTACTTTTCAATATATCGACCAATACACGGAAGAATAATGATACTCTGTTTTTGTTGCATGAAAAATTTCAAAGCAACGACTAACTTAGGTAAAATCATATATATATATATATATATATATATATATACTCGTTTGGAAAAACCTCGGATAGCTCAAATTGCAGTAGAACAAATTGGTACCCAAGGAAAAATGGGAAATAAAAAAGAAAGAATTAAGAACATTAAAACAAGGCGAAAACAATCGTCCAGTGTTTAAGCTCCAAGTCCAAGTAGACCGAACCTAAAGTAATCCTGAGGAGCCAAGCAAACCTACCTAGGTTACACCTAATCGGATCTTCAGGGTAAGCTGGCTAGAGAGAAAAATTACGGAACTGTATTTATTGATAAAACCATAACCACGTGACAAAAATAAATAAATAATTAAGACAAACAACAAGGGGAATAATACTTTATTGATCAAACGACAAAAAAAAAAAAAAAAACTTCTAATAACTAGCCTTTTCTATGCCTAATAACCAGCCTTTTATATATATATATATATATATATATATATATATATATATATATATATATATATATATATATTAAAGACATTTTTTATGTTTATACATTCTTTTATAGATACAATAATGTATTTATAATAAACAGTATTAAGCAACATTTACCGGCCTGAATTATTGTAAAACAGAGCATCTACTCAATTATAAACAGAGCATTTACTTAAAGTTTGTATCTATAAAAAGAATGTATAAACATAAATATGCCTTAAATAAATTGTCGGGCTTTTTCCATTTCATAATATATATATATATATATATATATATATATATATATATATATATATATATATATATATATATATATATATGGTATTTGTAAAATTTGTACACATAGGAATATTAATTATGTTCTTTACCTCCCTGGATTCAACATGGTTATGTCAAAAGAAGAAAGGATTGATTTTTTTTCTGGGTTATGCTAAAGGAGAAGGTGTACTCAATGAAAATCACAGATTCAGCGGACTTAATTGAATGCATAAATAATGAATTTGCTAAAATTGACGGCAACGGGAAGTTATTGCTTTGAGTTCACGTGAATTTTGCAAATGTCATCAAACTTTGCATGACAAATGATGGAAATCATATTGAAGATGTTATTTGTTAACATTCCAATTAAATAAAATATTGTTGAAAATTTATATTCTCTATGTGACGTTGCTTTAATATTTATTTAAGGTGGAGAAATTTAGTATTATGGTTATATTTTTAGTTGGATTTTTTTTCTGATCTTCGCGTTGTTCAAGTGAAGTGTTTTGGGATCATTTATGTATCATAAAAACCTTTAAGATATATATGATCCATTTTTTGAACGTATTTTTAAGGATTTATCTAAGTAAACGGGTATACACAGATGATTATGGAGATTTTTCTGAACGAGATAAACGCCAGTCATCACATCTGTGAATGCCCAAATCTTATTTAAGAGGCTTTAAGAAAATACGTCTCAGGTTAAAATCAGTTTTCGTCTTTAAGATGTACGCCCGGCATCATATCATATGTTTGAAACTGAGATCTTATTTAAGAGATTGTTTAAAAATATGACTCAGGTAATTAAGCATTTTTGAACGTGTTGCATGCCAGGCTTCACATCTATGAATGTCTAGATCTTCTTTAAGAGGCTGTTTAAGAATTTAACTCAGTTGCCATATCTAGTTTGATGCCCCAGTTTCTCGAGGTTCTTGATAAAATCCAAAGAAGGATGTGCAATTTATTCGATCCTGTCTTGGCATCTTGTCTTCAGTCACCTTCTCAAAGACGTGATGTGGCATCTTACTGTCTTTTCTACAAATATTTTCATGGCAACTGTTCTGTGGAGTTTTTATCCACCACTGTACCGATTACATAAATTTAAACGACATACTAGACTAGAATCTAGGTCTCATGATTTTACCGTTGAAATAGTTAAATACAACCGCCACTTCTACTCCAACAGCTTCTTTTCTCGCACTCATATCCTGTGGAATCCGTTTACTTCCTTCACTTATAACTAAAATCTTCAAAAATTTAACAACGTCAATGGCCATCTTCTGATGTCTTGAATCCCGTTCATCTTTTATCCTTTCCTAATTCCCCTACACACACTTTGTTTTTCTCTCACCTTCAATCTATATAACTCCCTGCGAACCAGTGGCATTGCTTAAAAAAATAGGTTAAAATCAGTTTGCGTCTTTAAGATGTACGCCAGGCATATTTTGTTTGAATGCCCAGATCTTATTTAAGAGGCTGTTTAAAAATATGAATCAGGTTAAAACCAGTTTACTTCTTTACGATTTATATGATCCATTTATTCCAAACTATTTTAAGCATTTAAACGGGTATGCACAGATGATATTTTCGAATTTTCTGAAGGATATATACGTTAGAGATCTCATCTATGAAATCCCAGATCTTATCTAAATGGTTGATAATATTATGACTCAGGTTAAAACCAGTTCTCTTCTCTAAGATTTCTATGATCTATTTATTTACAACTATTTTTAAGCATTTATCTGAGCAAACGGCTATACACAGATAATATTTTAGACAGTTCTGAACGGGATGTACGCCAGATATTATTTAAGAGACTGCTTAAGAAAATGACGCCCGTTAAAACCAGTTTACAAGTTAATATTTTAGTTCTAAATCGTCTTATGTTGCTCTATAAAAGTACCCCTAACACAATCTATTCTGTGTTGAATTTCATTATCTCTCATACTAAATTTATAGATTCGTCCGTTTCACACTCCTCTCTGAACTTTGGGACAGGCGTAGATGTTTATCTCTGGTTTCCTGTTTAGGATTTGATTTCCGGTTCATCCTAAAGTATTTTCATTCTCTTTCACTCCCAGTAGCCCCCTTGCATCTTAGTGGCATTACCGCCTTGCTTGGGGTGAATTGGTTAAAATTGGATCCAATAATGCATTTTAATGTTTCAAATGTATCATTCCATATTGTGAATTTTTATGACATAAATAGTCCCCAGAATTGTCAGTTTTCTCGTTTGTGGAGTAGATTCTAGAATTCCACAAATTTTCGACGAAGTCTTAACTGGTCCCAGATGCAGAATATTTTCGTGAGGGTTGAATTATAACAATTATATATAATTAAAAATCTCCAATGTGTATTTGCAATGAATAACAATATTTACAAAAACAAAAGACAAACGCTGTTGATATTAGAACCCCCACAATCTAACCGACGGCAAACCTTGTAACTTTTCATATTTATCTATCTTTTCGTTATCATATTTTTTATTGCTGTTGTTAGTTTTTCTTGGATTTTTATTTGTTTATTTTTTATTTTTTATTTTTTTGCTTGATTTTTTTTTTCTTTTACCTAACTCTCTTCCCTGAATATTTTGCCTTCTCAATTTTTTTAGAATACTTTTTATTAAAGAAAAAAAAAAAACTCTTTTCATTTCCGTCTCGCTTGCTCGTACCCGCCACCTTCTAACACTGGCATTAAACGAGATTAATTCAATGAATGAGAAAACCCCGGGTTGGCTTTTGGAGGCTAGGAACGGTGGAGAGGTTGTCGGTGATTTGTCGGGTAGAATAGGAGGTAACGGGTGAGGCACGGATGCCACAGCTAGACATCAAATCTTATGGCATCATTCGAAAAGGGAGAGTAACAAACGGTGAGGAGTGGGGTTGGTTGTCTCTGGCAGGACTTTAATGTTGAGGAAGTTTCTGTTTTAATGATTTCCAAATGGTTTAACTGAAAGTCCGCTTTTCAAACAGAAAATGTAAAATAAAATTTTAAAAATTTCTCCTAGATTTTCTTCTTTTCTACACTTTCTTTCTTCCGCCATTTTTTTCTCTTTCATACCAATGCTTTGTTTGTTTCTTATATATTTGTATTTTCCTTCCATTTTTTTTCAAATATTGTCGAAATGTATCAAGAAAGAGCCGTTATACATTTGGCCAATATTTACCTATATACGTATTATGGGATTTCTTCTTAAATTTTGTCTTTCCTTTTTGTATAGTCATTCTTCGTTTCGTTTGGCGATTCTTTGTTTTGTACGGTCATTTTTCGTTTCGCTTGGCGATTTTTCATTTTGTATGGTATTTTCTTCGCTCTGACGTTCTTCATTGGCCATATTTGCGATTATTTTCATTCGATCCCACTTCTGATTTCTTTCTTATTATTTCTTTATTTATTTCTTCACCTTTGTCTTCATTAAATTTTTTCATCTTTTCCAAGGTTCAGTTCCGGCATTTTTTTTGCCTTTTCTTACAAAACTTCCAGTTTTGTTTGTTTGTTTTCTTTTTTCTTCTTCTGTCTCTATTGCTCCTCTCTTTTCCCTATTTCATTCCTCTCTCGCTTTTTAACGTATTCTTTCTTTCTATTTCTTTTCATTTTTCTCTTTCATCTCTCTTTTTAAATTCACACTCTTTATTACGCTTATGATCTTACCAAGACTATTTTTCTTACTGTCAAATCTTTCTGACAATCTTTAACTCAGTTTTTCTCCATCTTTTTCTTACCACTTCAGCATCATCCCTCAATCGTTCTCTTCTCCTCCTTCTTCATCATCATCATCATCTTCCACTTCTTCTTCTTCTTCTTCTTTTTCTTCTTCTAACTCTATTTCTTCTATTTCTATATGTCCTATTCCTTTTTCTTCTTTTTCTTCTTCTTCTTCTTCTTCTTCTTCTTCTTGGTTTTTACCAACTTCTAATGATTGCAAATCAAATCCACATTTGCTACACCACCGGCACACTTCGTTTTGTCACAGATGGCAACGGCTTGTATTTAGCCGCTTTTTTTTTTCTATGAAAAAGAACCAAAAAACAAAAATAAAAATAAAACGAATTCATAACAAGGAAAAAAAAAAGATAAAAAAAAAAAGAAAACATAGCCAAGGCAGTATGTCTCTGGCCTGTCGAGTGGATGAAATATTTTCGTTATTGACGCTAATTTTAATCGGGATCGTCCGAACCCAGATAAAATAGGAAGATGCGTAGATCTTTCTTTATTTTTAAGACAGGGACATAAATCATCTTCTTTGTTAATATACAGCAATTCCTCGATAAATGCGTTTTCGATTAGTGCGCTAAAATTTTTATGTACCAAAATTCGATTAGTGCGTATATAATACTCGGTTAGTGCGGTAAAACATTCTTCTGTTTAATCATAGTAATGGAAAACTGATTTCTTTTTATAGTTACTGATGGACAAATTAGTCGCATTAATCGAGGGATTCATGTATATTTCTGTCTTGGTCAGTGTTTTTCTTTTTTTCGGTCTTAGGCTCTCTTCTTTTTTTCTCTTGGCTCAACCTTACTATTTCTTCCTTTTTCTTTAATTATTTTCTTCTCTCTCTCTCTCTATCTATCCCTCTCTCTCTCTCTCTCTCTATCTATCTATCCCTCTCTCACGCTATTTTTTACTCTCTTTGTCTCCGTTTTATTTGTTTTTTTTCGGTCTCTCTTTTTGTGTCCCATTTTTTTAAAATCTCTCTTTCATTCTTATTTTTTTCTTTCTTCCTGTCCCAGTCTTCACTTTACTAAATAATCTTCATCTCCAAATATTTCTCCGTAATATTTAGAATAGTAGAATTTGTTCCCAATTTGCCGACTGTTAGAACTATTAGACTATTACAACAATATGTAGGCACCCTCGATTAATGCGTTTTCGATTAGTGCGCTAAAATTTCATGTACCAAAATTCGATTAGTGCCTACATAATACTCGATTAGTGCGGTAAAACATTCTTCAACCTTAGTAATTGAAAATATTTTTTTTTAATATTTCAGTCAGTTATGTGCCATGCGTGATACACGCTTAGGCGATCATCTATCTTTCGATACATGACTGACGAGGCAAATTTTTTCTCGCAGTAGGCTGCCATTTTTCTGGGTTAGATGGCCTTGGATGGCAACTGGTAGATTAGTTGCCATCCAAGGCTATACAACTTATCTATCCTGCTATTTAGCTAGGTGTAGAGAAGAAGAGAATTCATACCTATCCCAAGGGTATTAGCACGTAAATAAATGTAATAGATTCGAATAGATTTCGAACTCGGCTCTCCGATTCTGCAATCCGAGACGCTATCCAAAACTTCAATCTATCAATAAATCAGAAGAAAAACAAGTCAGTCAGTCAGTTATCTGTCATACGCGATACACACTTAAGCGATCATGTATCTTTCGATACTTGACTGACGAGGCAGCTTTTTCCCGCTGTAAGTTGCCATTTTTTCTGGGGTAGACCAGTTGTCATCCAAAGCTAGAGAACCAGGTCTATCCTGCTATTTACCCATAGCTGTGGGGAGAAGAAAATGATTCATACCTTTTTCAAGGGTATTAGTACGTAAGTGAATGTAATGAATTTGACTTGAATTCGAACTCGGCTCTCCGATTCATCAATCCGAGCCGCTTTCCATTACGCCCCAAAATTAAAAACGGACAGTTGTTAACTATTTTCTTTATCAAATATTATATTATCTAAGTAAATATTACCTTATCTAAGTAAATATTACGTTATCTAAGTAATTCAAGTAGTGTTAAAAAAACGGACAGTTATAAATAGATAAATTCTATAATGTAAGCCGATAATAAAATATATGAATTTTTCCGTATTTTGATTTTTGACATGTTTATGTTGAAGGTCTTAAAATGAATTTCTTACAGAAGAATAAGAAGGGGGGAAAGGAGGAGGAGGATAAGATATAGAAGAAGAAGAAGAAGAAGAAGAAGAAGAAGAAGAAGAAGAAGAAGAAGAAGATTTAAACAGAGTTAATTTAAAAGCAACAATAATACAATGGATGTAATCTAATAATAAAACTATATGAGTGGAAATAGTTCATTTAAAGGAAAAAAAGTTGTTTTTTTACGGCATATCAACCTCAATGGGTTATTTAATGCCGACAATTTTATTGCTGGTAATATTTTTTCAAAAGTGTATATGTCGTAATATTTTTTTTATTTTTTTCCAAAATCTATTGCGGAAAATAATGTATTGCTGTTAATATTTTTTTACTCGGTATTTCTGGTATTAAAATCTACTTTTTTAATTTCATAGTGATTTGACCCCATTTTGGGGGTTAACTATTTGTCCTTACATGGGACCCTGACAGGGTGGACCTGGGAACACCAGCAATTAAGAGGTTGTTCCACGCTCCCCAAAGCCTCTTGATTAGAGGCATTGCTGTTGGACGTAGTTTATCGCCATACCCAGGATGGCAAAGAAAAAGATTAGGCAAACTAAAACTAGTAAAAATACCCCACTTTTTAATTCATTCCACCCCGAGCAAAGCGGGAATTACACAGGTATGAAGGGCGGTTACAAAGTATGAAGGTGAGAGAAAAAACTGGGGATAGGGGAATCAAAGAAAGGATAAAAGCTGAGCTGGTTTCAAGAAGATAGAAGATGGCGATTGACGTTGCATTTTTGAAGTTTATAGTAATCAGGAAAGCAACAAAACGGAAGGGTTTCCACAGGCGGGAAGTGCGAGAAAAGAAACTGTTGGAGTAGATGTGGTGGTTATATTTACCGAATGAACTGTAAAAGCTACAATCTATTAGCAGATTTAAAATCACGTAGTTTGGTACCAGGGTAAAAAGACTTAAAAATATTTGTAGAAAAGACAGAAAGAAGCCACGTTGCATCGGTGAGTAGTCGGAATGCTAAGTCAGGATCAATTACATTGCAGGTATTTCTTTGGATTTTTTCAAGAACCTCGAGATGTGTAGCAGGAGCACCTGACCAGATATGACAACATTATTCAATGCACGGACGAATGGTAAATTTGTAAATGTACAAGATGGACTCTGACAAGAAAAAAACTTCTGGCACGACACAGTAAACCAAATTTACTCGCAGTAGATGCACCTATTGATTCAATGTAATCCCTCCAATTCAAACCTGTTGAAAACGTGAGGCCAAGAAGGCGCAATGTGTTGTTCTCCATGAATCTAGCATGGGCTATGCTGATGGTGGGAAGCAGAGTTTCTCTGTGGTGGTTAAATAAGAGCAGTTTTGTTTTGGAGGATTTATAATTTACGAGCCATTCCTTGCCCCAGTTAACCACTGATTTGAGGTCCTTCTCAAGAACAGCAGATTTGTCAACTCTGATGGATTTTCTATTAAGACTGGCGTAAATGGCGTCCTGGATATGACGATAAACTACATCCATGTCCTGGGTATGACGATAAACTACATTCGCGTCCTGGATATGACAATAAACTACATTCGTGTCCTGGGTATGACGCTAAGCTACACCCATATCCTGGGTAAGACGATAAACTACATCTAACAGCAAGGCCTCTGATAATACGTTTTTGAAGAAATAATGTTGCCGGCTGTACATTTTTGAAAAGAAAATGATATTACCAGCTATACGTTTTTGAAAAAAATATTACCAGCTATACGTTTTGGAAGAAATAATATTACCAGCTATACATTTTTGAGAAAGAAATATTAACAGAAATGGATTTTTGACAAAACAAAAATAGTACCAGGGGAAAAAAAAGAAGTTGTCGGCATTAAATGACCCATTGAAGTTGATGTGCCTTAAAACAAAACAAAGCAAACCAAACTCGCGTAAATGATAGTTTCAAATAACGGTATTAATAACAAAGAAAGTATTCGTGCACAGAGATGGGAGTAAAAGCATTAATAAATATTAGGTAACAGGATTTGTAAAAAAATATTAGTTATCAGTTTATAAATCTCATTTTCATTTTATTAGTAACTAGTGTCAAATATGACGTAATTATTAGAAATTTTAATCGTGAGATGTCATGAAACAAATGTCTTGAAACGATATATCGAGTTGATCAGTGATGACAATTCCAGAAACTATAAACATTTTTTTGCTATCCTCTGCCAGCCGCAATGATGGAGAAAGCATTACCTTGAACAATCGCCAGTGAGACACGCTGCAAGAGCCACTCCGTTTTTACGAGGCTCGTCCCTTAATCGAGACGCAATCGCGCCAATCCTCCAAAGGAACGCCATCGAGCGAGGGCCAATAACCCCTGAAGTCTCCACTGCCACAGGAGTAAAAAAAAATATCTATCAGCAAGAGAAGAATATTTAACTATTTTTTTCATCTCTTCGTCCAGGGCGACGGACCCCGGCTCAACCGCGGACCTGATCAAATTACCAGTCGAAAATGTATCCACACAGGTCGCATCCCAGATCAACGACTTCCCCATTTTAAAAGGGAAAATGGTAATGCCATCCGGCCGCTTTCCATCACCACGGTCGAGGTTTACGGGTTCGATTTGGGAAGGGAACCCAGCTGCATCCAAACCTCTTCTGATGATGTCGTTTATTGCTGCATGCCGGGGAAAGCGGCCGGCACTACGTCGACAGGAGATATATCGAGATTCAATTAAGCGGAAATAACGAATTCAATTTAAATATCCAATGGCGTCTATGATTCAGTGATTGTCCCTCGTTATTATATAAATCGCTTTTTATTCAATATATTTACCTGTTAAAATGTTTTATGTTTTATATAACAGTTAAATGAAAATATTACAGAGAAAAAAATATTCACACCTGAACGACAACGACAAAGCCTATTTCAGTTGAAGCAAGACGAACAATTAATAGATAATGGTATCTGAATGCCTCACATGAAAGGCTTGAATATATAAGGTTGCAATCTAAGAAACATAGGACTAAAGGAACTGATTAATTAAGTGGTTTATTTTGTCTAAATGCAGATAAATATTTTATGTGTACAGATTATTAAAATGACGTAAGCCCTCATAAATTTACTAACTTAAGCTGATTTAACATCCGTTCCCACTACAGACGGGACAGGAAATATATAAATACACACATAATGGTAATTGTTATATGCTTTGATAATGAAGATAGAATTTTAAAATATAAATAAAATAACATGTATTAAAATTTGTAAAAGATTAATAGCAATAATGCAGATTGTATTGAACCAGTGTATTGGAATCAAAAGCAACAAAAATAAGCCAGATTAAAAGATATGAGAAAATGCTTCATTTAAAAGAGATAAAACATATTGTGAGTAATTTCATGATATTAAAACCAGTCCAATTTCCAAAGAATCTATGTTTTTTTTAATCTTTTGGTAATCATTTCACCCCAAGAAAGACAATAAACCCACTAAGACTCAAAAGAGTTACTGAGTGCGAAAGAATAAGGAAAAGAAAATTATTATTAAGTGAGCACAAAAAGAAGAATAATCAAGAAGACAGTAACTTAATTCATGTTCAGAATTACACACTATACATTATATATATATATATATATATATATATATATATATATATATATATATATATATATAAGAGAGAGAGAGAGTGGGAGACAGAGACAGAGAGACGCTCGCACATCCTTATGCCAATTACCAAGTTTAGCCTGAAGATCCTTTTAGGTTAAACCTTGGTAAGTTTGTCTCTTAGGATTTATTCTCGTTTATCGCTCTACTTAGCGTATTGAGCACTCTACGCTTATCTTTCTACTCCTTTGGTTTTTTTTTCTTCTTTGGATTAAGGACTTAAAACACTTGGCGATTTGTTTCGTCTTCTTCTAATGTTTTTAGTTCTTTCTTTTTTATTTTCAATTTTTTCTTCCGGTACCGATTTATCCTGATATATGTGCAAGTTGAGGTAACGAGTACTATTATAATATATATATATATATATATATATATATATATATATATATATATATATGTATGTATGTATACAGAGAGAGAGAGAGAGAGAGAGAGAGTGGGTGGGTGAAAATTAATACAAGTAAAAGGTTGTCACTTAGCTGATTAGGATTAACTTCAGAATCCCAGGTAAAGGATTTTGTCGATGAACACCTCCTGTAATCCCTCCGTACTCTCCTCAGGGCGTACCAGCAGTATATAAAAGATGCAAAAGAAATATAGGTTAGAGGAAAATTTTTGTAATATTGTTTTTACGAACCACATAAATTTCTATTTTTATTCTCTCTCTCTCTCTCTCTCTCTCTCTCTCTCTCTCTCTCTCTATATATATATATATATATATATATATATATATATATATATATATATATATACACACACACATATATATTTATATTTATATACATACACATTTCACACAGACACACTCATATATATATATATATATGTATATATATTATTTTGATCACGAATTAACTAATACTGCTTTCTTGATTTCTCTTCCTTTTGTGCTCACTTCTTAATAATATTTTTCTTTTCCTTATTCTTTCGCACTCAGTAATCATTTTGTGTCTTAGTGGATTTATTGCCTTGCTTTGGATTCTGAAGGTAATACCAATCACCTAAGTGACAAACATTTTACTTAGAGCAATTCTCTCTCCCTTATATATATATATATATATATATATATATATAGAGAGAGAGAGAGAGAGAGAGAGGGAGGGAGAGAGATATGCATAATTGCGATCTGGTTACATTCACAGGTATCGGAATAAACACGACTACTAATATAATCATCACACATCTACATCTTACAAAAGGACGAATATATTCATGAAGTAAGCTGAAAACTCTTGGCATATTGAATCAGAAGCTTGCAAGATTTGGCGGGATTTTTCAATAATATCGAATGAAAAACTGGATCACAACAAACCAGACATATTAATGGAAGATAAAATAGAAAAAAAAGAAGGGTTAATCATCATGTCTTTTTGAGGCAGATATAGATCAAAAGGAAGAAAAGAAAGGAATTAACTATGGTCTATTGAAGCTTGAAGTCGCAAGGCTTTGAAAACTGAAAGAGGTCTCAAGCATACCAGTTGTCATTGGTGCACATAATTGGCAGAATGGCGACATGGATAAAGGAAATTGGCATTCATTGCCCAGTAGAATAATTGCAGGAAGTAAACTTCATACGAACGACAAGAATAATCCCGTAAGTGATGAACACTTCGAGTCAGAAGAAAATTGCATATTAAGAAACACGGACTTTGTTATTTAAACAAACAATATATATATATATATATATATATATATATATATATATATATATATATATATATATCCTTATGGCATTAATTGACGCAAAACGGATAATTCCGTTTCAGTTATTATTTCCTTTTCGTATTTTCAAAAGAAATATGACCCAGTACATGTTAATACTTCGTATGTCCATTCCAAGAAGTCGTTGCTTGCAAATTGACCACTGATTCTCAATTGAATTTAAATCAGAGAATTTTACGGGACGGTTTACAGTACTTTGATTTGCTCAATTTTCGTGCCCCTCCTTCAAGAAACGTCCATCGCAGGCAATGCCCGTAGGAGAACTAATCAACAGTAGAGACAATAGTGTCTGGGCGTGAAAAGAATTTTATGCAATAACGGACGACGCAATATTTTTCAAGGCCTAACAAGTTTCATCATACACTCCGAAAATAGATTCATATTACTGCACACCACTGCAAATGAAATAAAATATGGAAAAGATTGAAATCGATTACACCCTGTCACTGCAGTGGGTTTAAAACTGAACGTATAGTGACAGAAAGGAAAGTTGTTTCAGTTAATTGGCACAAGAGTGAATATTAATTTCTCTGTCTATCACAGTCTGTTCAGGGCTATCTATCTATCTATCTATCTATCTATCTATCTATCTATCTATCTATCTAATTCAATCTATTCATATCTATCTCATTCTGTTCATTATCTATCTATCTATCTATCTATCTATCTATCTATCTATCTCAGCCTGTCCATCTATCTGTCTATCTATCTAAGCCTGTTCATCTATCTATCTATCTATCTCAGCCTGTCCATCTATCTATCTATCTATCTATCTCAGCCTCACTTATATCTATATCTATCTATCTATCTCAGCCTGTCCATCTATCTGTCTATCTATCTATTCATCTATCTATCTGTTCATCCTATCTATCTATCTATCTATCTATCTATCTATCTATCTATCTATCTCAGTCGGTTAATATACATTTATATTATCTATTTTTATCCTTCACTTATTATAATGAACTTATTCCTTATTGGGTAATAGTCTCCGACGCGGCATCGCTACTTCAATCCTCTGCAGCCATATTTGAAATCGTGTTTTTTTCGACCAATCCGATGATTTGAACGGAAAGACTCGAAAACGAAGAACTTTTGCTCTTCTGTTTGCTCGACGAAAGACGAGATTGCTTCATAGGCTGGGAGATTTTCTTAATTAACAGATCCATGACGCGTTAGCTAATTAAGATGGACACGCAAGAGCGCCGCCTGACGAGGCGGTGGGGGAGCAATTGGAAATTAGAGAGAAAGAAAATGTTAGTTTGCCAGAATGTCATAATATATCACCTCTGAGCGATCCGTTACATACGATTTTCAACGTTTTTTTTATCACACCCATGAATTCGCATATATATATATATATATATATATATATATATATATATATATATATATATATATATATATGTATCATGGTGTGCTTTACATGTAATCGACCCGCTCATAAACCCAAAAACGTTTCAATGATGTAGTTAAATGTAACGTAAATACTCTTGGCATCAATGTTAAAGACTTGGAAATTGTTACTGGAGATATATCTGGTTGGAGAAGGTAAATTTGGGAACGTAGCAATAGTTTCCATCAGGAGAGAATTGATTCTTCCATTAAAAAGCGCCTTACTAGGTAGGGAAAATAGAATTTGTGCCAGAGCCATAAGGACCTCATCACACTTGCAGTATTTATGGAAAATTCACCCTTTCGTTTAGCCATAAAATCCCACAAAGAGGTTAGGAGAAGACACCTGTGGGTGCAAACATACCAGAAAGAAATGGTAGTTACTTGTGCGAGATTTGTGACAAGTTTTGTTGCAGGACTCAAATATCACGTGATTGTACACAGGTATAGGCTAATGTCCAATACACGTGGGTAAGAGAGGTTGTAAAATTGGCTGGTTAACTTTAATGTCTCAAAAGCAAGACTACTCTCTATTTCTCACCATAGAGAACCATCCCTGCTTCCCATTAGAATGCCTGAAGCTCAACTCCACGAGAGCACCTCTTTGCGACTGCTCGGTCTCACATTGTCCGCTGACCTGAAATGGAACGAATACATTGAGTCAATTGCTTCGTCCAACGCAAGGAAAGTTGGCTCCCTGTGCCGCGCCAGATAATTTTTCTCGCCGACTTCGATCCTTCAAATCTACAAAGAAACCATTCGCCGATGCATAGAGTATTGCTGCCTTTTATAGTCTGGAGCCCCTTCTGTTTGTTTCAAGGTCTTTGATAAAATCCAGAGACGGATATGCAATATAATTGGCCCTGATCTGGCATCTTGTCTGCAGTCGCTCTCTCACAGACGTGCCGTCGCTAACCTCTGTCTTTTTTACAAATACTTTCACGGTAACTGCTCCGATGAGCTGCTTTCGCTGGTTACCAGACTTCATGAATTTAAGCTTTCAAGTAGGTTGGCATCTCGCTCTCACCCTTTTATTGTCGAAACTGTTAATGTCTCTTCTACTCCAATAGCTTCATGTCTCTCACCTCTCGCCTGTGGAACTCCCTTCTCTTTTCCTATTTTCCAGATAGCTATAATCTCCAACTATAAAATGTAATGTCAATCGACGTCTCCAAGAGGCCCTGATCTATCCCCTATCCTTCTCTTCATCCTTTCCTCTATCACTCCTATTTGCTCTCGCTCCAACTCTCTATAACCCCTTGCGTGCTAGTGGCTTCCCGCCTTGCTTGGGGTAAAACGCTTAAAAATAGAATCATATACGCGTCCATAGCATGGGTAAAAATGATGGAAACAATAAAATTCTGAATGAAAAACAGAAGAAAATATAACAAGCTGACTTTCTTCTGCAAAGAAATGCCAATCTTCATCATATGATAAAAAATAATATGGTTTGGAGGTATGCTTATTTATGGGTAAAAGTGCTCAACATCAGAGATAGAGCATATGTAAATATAAAAGTGGACACTGAGTTCCACAGGAAGCAACGACAGTCTGTTTTATGTTTTCCAATGCTTTATGTCTTCTCAGTTTCGTGACCAAAACGTAAATAAAGCCAAGAAATAATGGGTTGTTATTTGTTAATCCGACAGGACCTTTTTCATTTTAAACGTTATTTTTAGAAGCTACTCACATTTGAGCAGACGTTCTATTTATTTTTTTTTAAACATTTTTTTTTGTTTGCCTACCGACCCGAATAAAAGAGAAATCTTATTAAACTGTACGAGAAGAATGAACTTATAAGACAGTGTGGAATATTTCTTGACCGGCGACGCTCATCGAATAAAACCATATTGCATCAAACGACAGTTTCGCCTGCAAAGATGGACGCACTTTCGAATCCTGATGAGGGGATCCTTTTTTCATTAATAGGTTTTCTCGAATATTCAGGTCAGTATTGATACATGAAGTGCCAAACAATTTTCACTTGCCATCCTACAAGTTACCAATTATTACCACTGTCAGATGCTGATGACAGAACAGTATATGTGCGCATCTCTAAAATTTTAAATGACCAGAGCCTGGCAGCTGATCTCTCATCTTACCAAGCTCTAACAGCTCAGTGTAAAAAAAATACTGTCTGGTTACATTCCATGCCACAAAAACCAAACTAGTGACATCAACACTAAGCCGACTCTGAATATTCGTCTATTTCGATGAATGTAGGTTCCCTTGGGGACGCCCCGTACTTAAGGCGCCTACTCAGACTTAAACTCCCTCCAGATCTCAAGTGGAACACATATATACGATCCATCGCTAAATATTCTGGAAAAATGTACAGTTCCCTGTAACGGTTCCTGAATACTCCTGCTATCCTCTACCTTTACAAGAGCGAGATCAGACCAAAAATTTAGTAATGCGGCAGCGTCCTGAGTATGACCATAAACTACATCGACGTCCTAGCTAAGACGATAAACTATATCCGCCATCAAGGCCTCTGATCAGGAAGTTTTGATGAACGTTTAACCAACTCTTAATTGCTCGTGTGTGTGTGTGGTTTGTTTGGTCTGTTTTGTTTTACAGCATATCAACCTCAATGGGTTATTTAATGCCAACAAAAGTTTTATTGCTGGTAATATGTTTTTCATCAAAAATCTACTCCTGGGAATATTTTTCCTTCAAGAAATCTATAGCTGGTCATATTTTTTTCAAAGAATCTATAGCTGTTTGTATTGCTGGTACTTTTCTTTTTAGGTATTGCTGATAATAATTTTTCCTTCAAAAATTATTGTTGTTAATATTTTATTTTTTATTACAAAGCATTTCTGGTATTAAAACTTATTTTTATACAAGTTTGGGTGTTAACTATTTGCCCATAGCTAGAACCCTAACAGGTGCTACCCACTCGTGTCAGGGTGGACCTGGGAGCACCAACAAATAAGAGGTGGTTCCACGCTCCTCAAAACCTCCTGATCAGAGGCCTTGCTGTTGGACGTAGTTTATCGTCTTATCCAGGACGGATATATATATATATATATATATGTGTGTGTGTGTGTGTGACCGCGCGCGCGTGTATGTGTATAATTTTAGTGAAGCTCTGGCATTATTGCAAAACATAAAACGTCAATAAGACAGTTTTTTGTATCACTGCTTTCTTTTTTTTTAAATTTACACATCAAATGAAACAAGATTTTTTAATGAATCGTAAACAGTTTCGACGCCAATCCAGCCACCTTATGATTGCATTAATATTCTCTGACGCCTTTCTGTAAAGGTGAAGCAGTTCAATTGGATATTATTAGGAACTCTTTTAGATTTGATGCCATATTTTTGTATTCTCTATAATCACTGATATTACCAGGAATTTATATCATATGAAGCATTGTAAGACACTAGTGAAATTGGTCTAGTAGTTACTCACTTTTTTTAGCCGAATTTCATGAAAAACTCAGATCGACAGTCTAGGTCTCCGTGATTAAGTCTCTGTGTCTGAGTCGCCTTGTCTGAGTCTGCTTGTCTGAGTCTATCTGTCTGAGTCTCCGTGTCTGAATCTCCCTTTCGGAATCTCCTTATATGAAGTATTGTCAGACACTACTAAAATTGATCTAGTATTTCCTTAATTTTATTTTTAGTCGCTTTCTTTGAAAATCTCAGATCTACATTCTGAGTCTCTGTGTCTGAGTCTCTGTGTCTGAGTCTGTCTTTCTGAGTCTATCCGTCTGAGTCCCCGTGTCTGAGTCTCCTTGTGTATTGTGTGGATCAGAAGTGAATAATCACTTTTCATCCTGGAAGAAACTAGTAATTCTGCTTGCTAGCCGCTTGATTGTAAGGTACTCGGGCGTTACACATTGACATTGCCTCAGATAAATGCTAAACCATTCCGTATTGTTTGCGAGTAAAGGCGAAATAAAGTGATGTATCAGAGACGCTTTTGGGGTTTCGTGAGCTAATGAAATCGCATAAAAACGAGAAAGACCGAACTCATTACTCAGTCATAATTGTTCTAGCTTGCTAACCATTATACCACTACAAGGTTCCACCTGCCTTCATACTTACGATTGTTGTTGTAATATACAGTGAGTCCTCCGTATTCGCGGGGGTTAGGGACCATAACTGGCCGCGGATAGTTAGAATCCGCGAATACTTTTACACCTCCCTAAAAGTGCTTATAAGTATCAATTTTGATTTTGAAAACCCCATATGCCTTAAACTTTGATCCTAAAATCTTTGGAAACATTTCAAACCCTTTTAAAAACATTTTCGAAAAATAGTATTGCTGACCATACACTTAACGTAAATTTTCTTTCATTCGTACGATAACCGTTTTTAATTATGCATAGATCGATACAACCTTTGAAAATACTGTAAAAAATATGTGTAACAAGACAAAATATAAATTTAAAATATTTTCTAAAAACAGATCTTTGATGATACCCCCAGATTTAACATGAGTCACTTTTAAGACCTCAGCCGCAGCCCCGAACAAAGAAGAAAGCCCAAGCACTACGCATGCTTTTGCTTTTGTTTTTTGCAACGAAGATGTGCAATTGTGTCAAGTTTTACCTCAAAAATGGACTGTTATATGTTTTAAATCACTTAAATAACAGGAAAATAATACAAGAATATTTTAAATATGTTCTATCGAAAAAATACGTCAATCGAGTTCTCAGCGAATAATTTGTACATATGTTCTTGAGAAAAACGTGCGAATATTCGGAGTTTCCGCGAATAACAAGTACGTATGTTCTAAAGAAAAAATCCGCGAATGTGTGAAGCCGCAAATGCTGAAACGCGGATAGGCTGGGGACTCACTGTTTTGCTAAAGTTGTTAAGCGCGCATATTTGTGATTTTTTTTGTATTTGGTAGTGTCCTCTGTATGTTGGCTCGAGGCCGAGTGGTTAGAACGTTGGCCTTCTGACCATGAGACGCAGGTTCCAATCGCACCATGGTCGATTTGTCAGGGAGACATTATCCAACGTTTCTTTCTATTTTTGCTTGTTGGAAAGTGTCTGAAAACCATACCACGGTGTGAACCAAGTCTCAGGAGTGAAATTGGGTAGATGGAACCCCTGGAAGCCATCGAGAGCTGTGTTAGCACGAAGTCACAAGTCATCGTGGCCGAGGACTTAATCGTGCTGGCCTTGTTCATATTGTTGATCACGCTAGATAACACGTTTTTCTGTTTTTGTTGAATAAACAGAAATGCACCTGAGCAAAGCGTCTGCAGTAGGGATTGGCTAGCCGTCCTAGTAGACGGGTATCCTCGACTTCGAATGGCCAGATCTGTTCTTTGTGATTCAGTAACTCTTTCCCACTAGGTTCGAAAAGGATGATCTTTGCTAAGACCTACACGATTCGTTCGACATTTTAATCTTTGATCTGAAAGCGTCTATTGACAGTTGAAAGGTGACATATTTCAGAACGGGTTAGCCACTATGCATCATATTCTTAGGAGAGTCTTCATCTGAAGAGAAATTTTAAGAAAATGTCTCGATTCTTAGGTTAATATTTTGGTTTTGCAACAGTGTGCGATGTTGGGGAAAAAATTTATATATATATATATATATATATATATATATATATATATATATATATATATATATATATATATATATATATATATATATATATATATATATACAGTCTGTGATGGATAAATCTGTGATGGTAAATTGTCGTCTAAGTGGCGCATAAATGAAAATAACACTGACATCTCATTTTAACGGATATACACGGTGCATGGATAAATTGTCGTCTAAATGACGCAAAAATGAAAACACTGACCTCTCAATTTAACAGATATACAGTGTGCGATAGATACATTGGCGTCTAAATGAAGCAAAAGGGAAAACAACACTGACCTCAATTTAGCAGAAATAGAGAGTGCGATGGATAAATTGTCGTTTAACTGACGTAAAAATGAAAACAACATTGTCATCTCATTTTCATAGATATATTTACCAAAATTAACCATAGCACTACCAGAAATAGCACTTCCTCCCCAATTCACTTGATGTATGGCTTAATGTTGATTCTGGGGCCCCGTGGGAAGATGAACAGAGGCATAATGCCGCCATCGCTAGAGATCACTCCAAACATTATAATTAGAAAAACTTTTAATTGCTTTCATTGTTTTCTTCTGCGAGAAAAGAATCTACCTCGTCAGTCATGTATCGAAAGATACATGGTTGCCTAAGCGTGCATCACGCCTGGCATATAACTGACTACTATTAGAGAAAAGACAAAATTACTAGTATGCAGTTATCAGTAACTAGGTTTCCAATGCATATAAACTTAATTACATTACTGATAACTACATACTAGTAATTGCCTACTACTAAAGTTATCTTTTTGACAGATTGAGGACAAGATGGATAGAGGAAAACAAAGCATAACATACTTGATGAAATTCTGTAAATAAAGGGCGGACCAGGGTTTAGGTGAACTAATAAAAAGTCAAAATTTTTTAAGAGGAAATTGTGGAGAGGGGACACGACATATAAAGGATAATGAAACGGTATTCGTATTATGAAGAGCACCTGATCTCTAAAATGAAAAATATATATATATATATATATATATATATATATATATATATATATATATATATATATATATATATATATATATATATATATATATATATATATATATTTTTTTTTGACAAATGACATGGCTTGAGGTAAGGTTAATGAATGGTACCATTAAAAAAATATTCACATTTCACCCCGACCAAAAACGACTCATGAGCCGATCATTTAGGTAAATTAATGTCTGATACGTTATAATTAATCGATTAATAAAAATCATTTAACCTCAAAGACATTTTTATCTAGGTACTTTCACTAACTCGCAGTGAAAAGCATACCATGATGAAAAAATGCCGCAAACTTGCTAAAAATAAGATTTTATTGTTAAAAACTTTATGTTATTATTAAGAGCAAAAACCAAAGTATTTTTTATTATTTAATTATAATTTTAATTCTTTTTAGAACGTTCAAAATGTTGATTAAAAATCTTGTTTTTCTTATGTCAGCGTTCAGGAAGCGGGACCAAAGATTATTATAGGAATATTTAGGGTATTTTTTGCGATTAAATACAAGTTTGAAATTCTTGCAAAAATCAAATAATTGTCGGATTTTAATGAAACATTCAGGACTTATTCGCAAATTAATGAAATTATTTTCAAAATGTTTCTTTTTTTAGAAAATCTTGATAATTTTTTTTTCTTAAATCCCCACTTGGATATTTTAGCTTCTTGAAGCACCACAATTATCTAATTTTTTGAAATTTCGAGAAATTAGTACAACTCCTTGGAGAATTTATATCATCAATTTCCTTTGTAAAACAGGACTCCACTTACCTAAAATCTATTCTGAATCTTTAAATAAAAATAAGGTTATTATTTAATTAGAAAAGCTTTCAATTACGTTAATGAATATGATATATTATGAAGAGCATAACATTTTTTCGATGTATAATGGATTTTTTAAAGAATTGCTTTCATTATGTTTTAAAATTTTTATTAAAGTTTTAAATGTTTTAAAATTCTGTATTAATTTGTAAATTTTAACTTATATTGTTATTAAGTAAAACCTATATTTACCAATCATCTGTAGAAAAGCTTGTAACAATTTAATGATCCCCAGTATTTTAAAAAGAATTTTGAAAGTTTTTTTTATCTGTGTAAACATGTCAATTTATGTAGATACGAACATCCATACACGAAATTATCAGAAAATAGGAGCGAAAATTTAAAACCAAATTAATTTAATGTAATTTAATTAATTACAAATTAAAACTAAATTTCAATAAAACATTATATTGCGTAGAATATTTCCCTAAATTTTTAACATTACTGAGTAATTAAAAATTATATAAAAAAATATGCTCGTGATATTCCTTAACTATTTTACAGATATATCTACCTAAGAAAAACATTAGATAAAATTCCAGATATTAACACCTTAAATAAACAGCTACGGCTGTGTTAAAAATGCATTTCTGCGATATTTGAAACTTGAAATAATTAAACTTTAATTAATTAATTAAACTTTAAATCAGCCAATATTCCTCAAATAAAATTTCAGAAAAGCATATTTATTTTTGGACGATTGTTTAATTTGGGGGTAGGGTGGCAAAAATTGTTTCTAAAATCAACAATTTCAACAATATTTTTAATCAGCTTCAGACCATCCTAGACGGTAAAGCCATTAAGACAGAAGGGGTTACTTGGTGAGGAAGAATTACAAACAGAAACAAAAGAGTAATCAGGAGAACAACAGATTGATATTGCATTTAATTTATTGCAGATTAGAGTTGGCTTGAAATCATGGAGCCGGAAAGGAGTTCCACAATAGATAGATAGATAGATAGATAGATAGATAGATAGATAGATATAGTAATGATTAAATAAGTAAACAGATAGATGAGACTTAGATACATAGATAGATAGATAGATAGATAGATAGATAGATAGATAAGTATATATAACCATGATTAGACAGATAGATAGATAGATAGATAGATAGATAGATAGATAATGATGAGAGATAGATAGATAGATAGATAGATAGATAGATATAGTAATGATTAAATAAGTAAACAGATAGATGAGACTTAGATACATACATAGATAGTTAGATAAATAGATAGATAAGTATATAGAACTATGATTAGACAGACAGACAGACAGATAGATAGATAGATAGATAGATAGATATGAAAATCTGAGATAGATAGATAGATAGATAGATAGATATGAAAATCTGAGATAGATAGGTAAACAGATAATGATCAGTCCGAGATAGATAGATAGATAGATAGATAGATAGATAGATAGATAGATAGATAGAGAAGAGAAACTGTTAGTATATAACTTACGGCTAGATGTAGCCAGTTCAACTGTAAATTGATGAGATCTCGATGCCAATCTAGTACGGCATTTAAATTCAGAAAGTCTAGCTACTCATCCAAACACTTACCATGAATGTATATATAGAAAAGACACAGAGAGGCAACAATGGGGCGCTGGTAAAGTGGCTGAAGCCGAGCCGCCAGATCAGGACCAATAATATTGCTGATTTTTCTTTAGATTTTATCACGGACCTCAAGAAATATGCTTACAGAAAAAGACACAGGAAGGCAACCTTACGGCGGTGGGAAAGTGATTGAAGCCGAGCCGCCAGATCAGGACCAATAATGTTGCTTATTCTTATTTGGATATTAACAAGGAGCTTAAGGTCCGTAGGAGGGGCACCGGACCATATGTGGTAGCAATCAAAGTGAAAACTCCTTCCAGTTAATTTAACCATTAACATGCTGCTGTTGATCTTGTTTGCAAAGCAAACATTTAACCTTTCTTTTACACTGCATTGTTTTTCAAGGTTCCTCTACAACATTAGTTAATTTCGATCATGGTCATTTTCTGTTGCCATAGCAGGATATGACAGCACAACTGCAAAATTCAAACACGCTATCATTAATTCATCCGAGTCGCTTGCAGTGTCAGGATTAAGTTTTTGTAAATGTTAAATCAGTTTTGAAATATAACTAAGTATATTGCATATTGTAAATATTAAAATTAATCTTGAAATAAAATTAACATAAAAGCTTCAAGAAAGTTTTTTTTTAATATTTAAAATTAAATTTAACCCTTATGTGTCATGAATCTGTGGAGGATCTTTTAAAATTTCACTGCCATTGTTTAAAGCAAGCTCTTGGAGTTTGTTTTTTTTTAATCTATACTGCATTTTCCCTTTATCCTTCTAATTCACCGGGGAACAAGTTATTCTACGTATTCGCTCAATATTCTGAATTTTCAAACATCCATTATCTTTCTGACTCTTATTTCCCAAGTCTCGTATAGTCTCGCACTAGAATTCTAATTTTGCCCGCACGCTCATATAAACAGTATCTCAGCAACATCGCCATTCTCAATCGCCACCATCTTGAAGTCATTAAACACATTAGAGAAAATGGAATAATTATTGTTTGCCAGCCGTTGGGTCAGGTTTTAAATCCCGGAGGGTAAGGTACAACCATATCAAGGCCCCATGCGTACAACTGTCGGCCTGGAGACGCAACTATTATTTAATCTCTTTGACTTATTCTTTAAAATACTTTTACAAGAAGCACTCCCATCTTTTGCAAGATTATGATGAACCCGTCGCGGCGGTATTCACATTTTCGTTTTATTCGCTTGTTTTCTTCTTGCGTGGTGTTTATATATATATATATATATATATATATATATATATATATATATATATATATATATATATATATATATATATATATATATCCTTCAATTTGTTGTATGATATCCACGTTTTATTGAGATCTTTTTCTCGATTTGGTATGGTTTCTTTTAATATAATACCATATTCATTCCATTATTTGTTCATTTTTCAGTTTTGATTACCTGGAAGCTATTTCTCAATATTATCATCTTTTTTAGTCGGTTAGGAATCTTTGTTTCTAACAAAACTAGTAGAAAGTATAGATGTAAAAATTTTAAATTAATTTGTATATCTTCATAAATTTCCTAAGTTTGTTGATATATGTCTTTCTCAGTCAGCTTCTGCCTCGCCTCCTCCTTGTCTCCCATCTGTGGATTAAATACTAGGAGTTTTATCTAGAAGAATCAGTGTTATTCTTTGAATACTTAATGTAATATTCACTCAAAGTTAATTAATCTTGCGATCCAAAATATGTTTTGCTTTAACAAAACCGTCAAAAATAACAAATCAATAATCTCTCTCTTTCTATCTCCCTCTCTATCATTCTATCTCGCTTTCTCTTTTTTTTCTCTTTATATTGAGCAAAATATGTTCATACTTTTCATTTTATTGCTACATTCGTTTCTTTCTTTTTTCTTTCGTTCTTTCTTTCGTTCTTTCTTTCGTTGATTCTTTATTTTTCGTTGTTTCTTACTATCTTTCATTGTTTGTTCTTTTTTTCTTTCTTTTTTCTCTTTTTCTATCTTCATTTGGTTGGTTCTTTCTTTCTTTCGTTCTTTCGTTGATTCTTTCTTTCGTTGATTGTTTATGTTGTGTAGGAACCTACCACCCCTCTTGAAGATGAACTCGTCTACAAACAAGGACGTTAAAATAGTGGCATGTCAAAAGACAGTGTAGAAGAAGTTCTGGGCTGAGTTAGTTATAGACTACTCAGGCGATTTCTGCACCAACTTACCAACCGAATAAACCCCTTTTTATTGTTACATGTTATTTGGCGTTTGTCTTTATTAACCCCAAATTAACATCATAACAGTTTATTTTTTTCTTTCTTGTCTTCTGTCATTGTTTCTTTTTCTCTTTCTTTTATCTATCTTACTTTTATTGTTTTTTTTTCTTGTTCATTCTTTCTTTCAGTCATTGTTTTTATCTTATTCACGTTCATTCATTAATTTCTTTTCCTTCTTTATCTATTTTTGGTTTGTTCCTATGTCGTTCTTTGTTTTTCTTTTTCCTTCTTTCTTTCTTTGCTTCATTTTTCTTTCTTTCATTTTCTTTCATTGTTCCTTTATATTTTTCGTTCGTTGTTTCTTTCATTTTACATTTTTCGTTGATTTTTTTGTTCTTAATTTCTTTTTTCTTTCTTTCTTTCTTTCTTTCTTTCTTTCTTTCTTTCTTTCTTTCGTCCGTTCATTCGTTCTTTCTTCCTTTCATATTTCTTTTCATTCTTTCTTTCTCTGTGTGTGTGTGTGTTTTTTTTTACCTTCGTCAGTTCCACAGGATATTCTATACTTTTCTCTTCTTCCCTATCTATCTATCTATCTATCTATCTATCTATCTATCTATCTGAGTTTGTTCATTATATATTCATTCATCTATTTCAGTCATTTTCATTTTTATTCGGCCTTGTGCCTGCTGAATTATTTTTCGCCCTAAAACACTTTTTTATCACAGAAACCTTAAACCCACCAGTTCTAACCATGACGTCTAAGACCCGCTTGACACGCCCATTGTAAAACGAACCTCTTTCTCTTCGTATTCTTTTTTGTGAGATGTAATTTCCACATGAGTAGCTTCTTCCCCGAAACGCTACTTTGTAAACCGACACGCTAGAGGATATATATATATATATATATATATATATATATATATATATATATGTATTGAGTATATTTAGGTAGCAGTTTTTCAGCTTAATAACATTGAAGGACGAAAGGAAATCACCATATTGATACATGTTTAAATCCAATCTAAGCTTTCGGCTTATATAAGCCATTATCAAAGATGACAATTACTTTTCAATATATCAAACAACAGACGAAACAATAATGATCTGTCTGTTTTTGTTGCATGAAAAATTTCAAAGCAAAGACTAACTCGTGTATACGAGGCGCGGAAGCGAAAATTGCGTCGCAGCTAGTGACGTCACACATGACCACGCGAGAGTGAAAACGAGAAGTATTATATATGGGAAGCCGTTGGTATAAACCAATGGCTTCTGTTACCAATTACAGACATTTAAGGATATTTGTGGAGATTTCGTAGTTTATTTTGTTCAGGTTAGGTTTCAACTGTTTTATGTATATAGCTTCAAGAATTTTTAGTGTTTGTTTATTGTTTTCATGTTTAAGTATAATTGTCTTTTCTACAAAGATTTTCTAGAATTGTGTATGCGGCCAGGCATGTTGTTTTAAATGTCTAAAAATGCTAGAGTTATCATTCAAATGTAGAGGCAAGCGTCGTGAAAAACAATATGATAATATATATATATATATATATATATATATATATATATATATATATATATTATATTGTGTGTATTTAGGCAGCATCTTTTCATTCATACACAAGATTTCATTAAATAATATAGACAAGTGTTGATAATTTATTTTATGTAAATACTTTCCATAACGTCTGATAAGTTTAATAACATTATCATTGAACGAAGAAAGAAATATTGATCCATATTTTTTTAATACAATGTAAGCTTTCGGCTTTCATAAGACATTATCAAAGATGTCTTATTACAACATATTAAGCAATATACGGACAAGACAGTGATGATATCTATGTAAACAATCACAGACTATCATATATATATATATATATATATATATATATATATATATGAAATTGTTGAAATACGACATAATGTTATATTTAATTGATTTTGTTTAAACGTTACTTTTTATAGATACTCATATTTTTTAATTAAGCAGTATTTTTATCCAACTACATCTACCGGACTGAATATTCGAGAAATCTTTTCCGAATTAATTAAAGAACAGAGCTTGTCGGATTTAATACATTTTCTAAAAATAAATTGTCTTTGCTTACGTTAGGATACGAAACAGAGCTGATATGGATGTTTTGAGAATCAGAAACGATTGTGTGTTGAAAAGGCACTTTCCAGGTAGGGTTTGACCGAAGTCCTACGTTACTGAGCGGTTAGGCACTCAGATAATATAACGGTTCCCCATAAGATATATATATATATATATATATATATATATATATATATATATATATATATATATATATGTGTGTGTGTGTGTGTGTGTGTGTGTGTGAAAAATATATAGAAAATAGGAAAGGTAAATAATCCAAAGTTCTTTAGTATTTTATTATTTTTAAAAATAGTGCTCGATACAAAAGTAGAGCATAAATATAATTAATTATTTAATTCATGTTGGAATCATATTTTAAATAAATAATTATTAATTATTAATTAATTAATTCATTAATTTAAATAAATAATTATTAATTATTAATTAATCATTAATTATTTATTTAAATCGTGTTGGAATCATATTTTTAAATAAATAATTATAATAAATATATATATATATATATATATATATATATATATATATATATATATATATATATATATATATATATATATATATATATATATATGAAATTGAACATAAAGTCAACACTTAGGGCGACAGTCTGTTTCATGCTACATGGAATCGTCAGGCCACGACGATTGCATATAGCATGAAACAGCCTGTCGCCTCTAAGTGTTGACTTTCTATGTTCACTTTTATATTTACACACGCTCTATCTCTGCTATTGAGCACTTTATCCCCTAAATATAGCACATATTAAGACTATATTCCTTCATATATATATATATATATATATATATAATTATTTATTTAAAAATATGATTCTAACATGCTACAAAGAGTTCTCATGTTTCAAAACAAGAGCCGAAAACTTCAATATAATTATTTGAAATAAATTGAATTCGCTTGAAGATGGAACAGAGCTTACTTTAATTCAATTTAATTCAAATAATTATATTGAATTTTTCGGCTCTTGTTTTGAAACATGAGGCCTCTTATGTCGCGAGTTGGAATTATATTTTTAAATAAATAATTATATTTATGCTCTACTTTTGTATCAAGCACTGTTTTTAAAAAATAATAACAAAACTACTAAGGAACTTTGGATTATTTACCTAAGCAGTTCTTTCCTATTTTCTATATATTTTTCACACACATATATCTATCTATCTATCTATCTATCTATCTATCTATCTATATATATATATATATATATATATATATATATATATGTTGGAATTGATTTTTGATTAATCTAACAGTTTCACCATTTGAAGTGTTATTTTTAAGGGGTCCTCGTATTAAAAAAAGATGTTCCGTTTATTTATTAAATCGTATATTTAGCTATTTCCCTCCACCGCACTAAATCATCGAGATTCATATTAAAGAAAAAAATTATGCCCTTTAGCAGGATTCGAGACTGCGTCTCACATGATCGGGGGAGTTCTCTGATCAAGAAAGAAGTATTCGGTCAGTCTGGGACCCAATTGTGTCTTTCAACGAAGCTTCTCCCATCGTAGAAATCTCCTGAAAATTTCAAATCTGCAATGGTTGTTTATCCAAACGTAAGCAAAGATATTTTCTCATAGGGTCGCAGGTTCGAATCTTGCCAGAGAGAGTAAAGTTTTCTAGATAGGATTTTTCGATCATTCAGGACGGCAGAAGAAAATATATAAATATACTGTTTAGTAAATAAATCTACTCACATATACTCACATATATTATAACCGTTAAATTTGGTGACTGAAGTTTCTTTACACTTTTGTTACACTTACAATTTCGGTTTTTAAATGTATCCAGCTGCGTATCAGCGTCCTCTGATGAAGACGTTACACTGCAAAAAAATAGGTACTGTTGGATTTATCTATGTAGTCTGAGAATTAAGTTGTATGTCAGTCAGAGTTGTGAGAGTCAAATAACAGATTGTTAGATTGATTAATTTGTTTTTAAATTATTTAGACACACATTTGGGGGAGGTTATTTAAAGCCAGAAAAAGATTGTAATAATTTGGTGGGGAAGTTAATTATGATTTACTGCTGCAAGTTATTCCTGGAGGTTGTTAAGCGATACAAAAACAAATTTGATATTTGGGTGAGTGGGTGTTTGTGTATATATATATATATAAATATATATATATGTGTGTGTGTGTGTTTGTGTGTGTTTGTGTGTGTGTGTAAGACAGATATGAATATGGATAGGTAGATATGAACAGGAATATATAGACAGAGAGATTGATACATAGATCATGTGAATAGACAAGATAGATAGATAGATAGATAGATAGATAGATAGATATGAATAGGTATGGTCGATCGATCGATAGACAAATAGATATGAATTGGTATGTTCGATCAGTCGATCGATAGACAGATATGAACAGACTGAGATAGATAGATAGATAGATAGATAGATAGATAGATAGATAGATATAAATAAATATGATCTATCGATAAATAAATAGATATGAATTGGTATGTTCGATCGATCGATCGACAGTCAGACAGACAACAGATAGATAGATAGATAGATAGATAGATAGATAGATAGATAGATAGACATAAACAAGCACAAAAAAAATCGAGCAAGCACAGATAGATATAAACAGCCTAGAGAGATATGAAAAGACATTGATAGATAGATAGATAGATAGATAGATAGATACGAATAGACTGAGATAGATAGATAGATAGATAGATAGATAGATAGATAGATAGATAGATAGATAAAGATATGTACCGAATGAGATAGATAGATCAAGGCATAGTATAAAGGTTCGTTACCCATCATTTGTCCAGGGAATATACATTTCTCATGAAGAACGTTATCTTAATGCAAAGATGCATATCATGTCTTTACTCTTTCACATCAGTCAGCCTCCTCTTCTGTCGCATTTCCAACTAAATTGCCCAGATAAGACCATACACAAGCATATCATGTACGATGCAATGCCATTTTTCTAAAGACATCTAATGCACACTATTTTATCACCATGCTCTTTTTCATCTCCTCCTCCTACTCTCTCTCTCTCACACACACACACACACACACACACACACATATATATATATATATATATATATATATATATATATATATATATATATATATATATATATATATATATATATAACAGTAACGCCTAATGAAACACAACGACCAAGATAGGACTGAGGCTAATGCGTTCAAAGCGAGCATATATTTTAAAAAATAAGGTGATTAATAATAATAAAAAAATCTAATGACTTATCTTCCAAGTCAAAGTTTCACAGAAATACCGTCGCACTCGTTCTGGTAAAATTCATTCATTCAGTTCATTAACGTATGTCATTTTTATATTTATTTTGAAAACCATCTCTTTTTACTTGATTACTATATATGACAATGAATTTGTTATATTCATCTAACCCTGAAGAGATGGTCTATATTTTTGAAAAAAGAAAATGAGAACTTATACACCGATGTTCAAATCAATTGAAACAAAACGAATAATTCCTTTCTTATTTACTTATGTGTTCGTATTTTTCCAATGAAACATGACCCAATGCACATGTTAGTATTTCGTTTGTCCCTTCCACGAAGTCTTTCCTTGCAGATTGACCATAGATTCTCGATTGGATTTGAATTTGGAGAATTTACGGGACAGTCTATGGTACTTTGTTTTGCTCACTGGTAAGGCTTACCAGTGTGTTCGTGCAGCGTTACAATTTTCGCACGTTTCCTTGGAGTAACGACATTGCAGTCATTGGCCGTAGGACAACGAATCGACAGTCTAGACAATATTGTCTGGACATGATAAAAATCTGATGCAATCCCGAATGACACAATATTTTTCAAGGCCAAAAAATTTTCATCATACACCGTGAAAATAGATTCATATTAACGCACACCACTGCAAATGACCTAATCTGAGAAAAATAAAATCGATTACATCCTGTCACTCCAGTGAGTCTAAAACTAACCGTGTGGTGAAAAAAGGAGACTAAAGTGGTTGTTTCAATTAATTTGCACAGTGGTATATATATATATATATATATATATATATATATATATATATATATATATATATATATATATGACCCAAAATGTTTATACACCTGTACAGCTTCACCTTCAGCATACTCCGGTAAAAGCTGGTGACTGAAGAGCCCCTTTTACATGGCCACGACTCCCCATCCATTTAAGGAAATTGTCATTCAAGTTTCTCACCCTAATGGACACCACATTTCAACCACACAATGATGCCTTCATCTAACCTTTCAATTTGAAGTATTAACTGGTCTCTCGATTTGGTGAAGTATGGTGATTTCCTAAGCATAGTTTAGATGTTGCACAAGCTCGAAAATATCGGACACCCAGTGAGGATCGAAATCACCATTCATTCGTAATTGATTTAGCGAGACAAGCTTGCTAATCATTACACTATGTTGAAATGACGTGTACATGGTGACGTCTGTCTCACCAATTACGTCATCATCAAAGAAAAATGATCCTAACTCATGGGCGTTACAGAATCTGCAATTGTCCTTTGCTTTTCGTCCTATTTGGAAATGTCCATCCGACGTGGCTTGTTTTGTGGCCCGTACCAAATGTTCTATCGGATATCCTCACCGTTTATCAACAACAAAACTTCGTTGGTGAACCTTACATTATCTCTTGTGAAGCTGTTGTTTTCATACGAACAAATGTGTCCAAATCACCCAGTATATATAATATCTAGTTTTGATAATGACTGTGACAGTCGAAAGTACTGGGAAAAACAAACCAAAAAAAACAGAATATAACCAGAACGTTGGACAGTTTCATCACAATTTTGATTTCGTTGTATAAAACTTGTAAAATAGAATATCTAATTAAACAAACACCACTTTTGCAGTAAATTTAACAATATTTATTTGTATAAATTATGGATGCCCAAATATATCAACGAATTAAGAGAAAAAGAAAATGATTCTTTACCGATGCGTTTCTTTCTCAGATAGAATTTATCAAGGCAAATATAGGGATTTTATTTTGAAACATAAAGAGATTATAAAAATATCCCCTTGTTTACTTTTTTTTCCATTTCTCTTTCTTCACTTTCGTCACAACATATTTTATCTATAACTCAATGGCTTTCAACACCCAACCACGTGATCTGCCAATTTTTGCTACAACTGGCTACGCACGAGACGTCTCTCCCTCTCCCCAAACTATAACTCTCTTCCTCAATGTTTACAATCTCACTAATGCCAGAACACATTATCTAGACTAACTGTGAAAGTCAAAGTAATCTATGAAAGATTAAAAGCGATGTAATTTAATGCCTAATAAACGAAAGCGAATAAAGGTTATATTTGAAATTATTCATATATTTATAGTGTAATTGACCATGATGATGATGACCAGAGACTACTTGGTCGAAATTTGTCTATAATACCATTTATGTCAACATAGATGAGATCTAAGGCAAGAAAATGCCATCTATATACAATGATTTTCACGGATAAATGATTGAAAAAGCCATCAGGTGAATGTAAATAATTGCATATACATTAGAAATGTATTTATAGTGTAATTATTATTAAGTATTTTAATATAATTTGTTAATTTATTTAAAATAATGAACGGTTTAAATTTAACTATATGCTCTAAATCTTTTCAAACATCTTTCAGGAAATATATAGTCCTTTCGAAAGCCAACAAAGACGTGCAAATAAAAAAATAAACTAAAAAGAAAAGTTGTCTAGCAAGACACAGTGAAATAAATCTCCTAGCAAACTTAGCAATATATGTATTTTTATTTTATTTAATTTTATTTTATTATTATGTATTTTGTATGTATTTATATTTTATTTTATTATTATGTATTTTATATGCATTTTTATTTTATTTTATTTCATTCTTATGTATTTATATATGTATTTTTATTTTATCTTATTTTATTATTATGCATATTTATTTTATTTTATGAATGTGTATTTTATATGCATTTTTATTTATTATGTATATTTATATGCATTTTTATTTTATTTTATTTTATCATTATATATTTTATATGCATTTTTATTTTATTTTTATGTATTTTATATGTATATTTATTTTATTTTATTATTATATATTTTATGTATATTTTTATTTTATTTTATTTTTTGTTATTATGTTTTTATATGTATTTTTATTTTATTTTATTTTATTTTATTATTATATATTCCATTTTTCCCTTTTTTCTTTTTTCCATTTCTCTTTCTTCCCTTTCATCATAACATATATTCATAGCTCACTGACTTTCAACACTCGACCACGTGATCTGACAATTTTTCCTACAACTGGCTACGCACGAGACATCTTTCCCTCTCCCCAACCTATAACTCTCTTCATCAATGTTGACAATCTCACTAACCTCCGGCACAAACTACTAACAATACATATGCCTAGCTTTTTTACACCGAACTTAATTCAAGTTTATTTTCAGAAAAAAGTTTCGCATAGGAATCTGGCTTTTCTTATAATACGATATCCAATGGAATATAGATGTCAAGAAAAACATCTCTCGGTGAGTGATTTAAATTTCTCTGTTCCTCTGATGGTTGATAAAGGACACAGTCGTGTCAGAAAATTCCAAAGTGAAAACCTTTGTCTCCGTGCATCATTTCTGTAACATGGCTGATAATTAATTGTAACATAAATTGAACTGCACTAGATAATTGATATATATATATATATATATATATATATATATATATATATATATATATATATATATATAGCATATCTTCATTCAAATATGCTTCATTCAATAATATAGACATATTGTGTCTACTTATTTTTATACTGATGCTTTCCAGTTGTCTAGTCAGTTTCTTGAAATTAAATGAAAGGAAGTTTTTTTTGTTTTTTTAACTCAAGTATTTTCGACCTTTTCTAAGATCATATTCAAGGGTAAATTACAATGACTAACATGCTGTTGTAACGGAAATAAAACTTCATTCCGTTGTCAAAAATAAAAAATTCTTGAAGCACTCTATATCGAAATCAAAGAAACAACCAACACTGGACAAAATTAATTACGAATATAGCAACAACATTGTCAAATGCATATAACATTTATATACTAATGCTATTTAATATGTCTACCAATTTCTGGTCAACTGCATTATTTTGAAACGTCTCTTTTGTAAAATATTTCATAACTAAAAGGGATAAATTTAAAAATTCTAAAAGACATTTAACAGATCGCGTTCACGCGTAGATTTTTTTAAAATCGTGATGACAACGAATGCAAATTTTATCGCAGTTGCAATGTTTATGGCTCAAAGGATTTACACAACGAGTATAGCGTTACTAAATATACTTTTATCATTCTCTTTTACTTTTGAACATATATAACTAGGAAAAAAATACTTTATTGTAATTTTGTCAATCAAAATCATTTATTATATGTGAAGATTTGGAGCTCACACGATACGCGAGATCACGTGTTACACGAGTATATATATATATATATATATATATATATATATATATATATAAGTTACACACACACACTCACACACACACATATATATATATATATATATATATATATATATTATCATTTATTCGGAAATGATAATATAAAGATGTTATAAAATCATTACAAAAGTAGCCATTTTGTTTCAACACATTTGGTGTCTTATCAAGTGATGACGTTGAATATATAATAAAGGGATCTCTCTCTCTATATATATATATAGATATATATGTGTTTGGAGGGTGAGTGTGTGTGTGTGTGTGTGTGTGTGTGTGTGTGTGTGTGTGTGTGTGTG